CAGAGAAAGAGAGAGAGAGAAAGGGAGAACGAGAAAGCAAGCCTCTAGGTTCGGGACTTGAACTGTGGTCGACCATGTGGGAGTCCAGCACCCTCAACCACCATGCCATCTGCCAACCCCTAGACAAAATATTTTTAAAAAATACTTGAAAATGGGCAAAAGACATGAAAAGATGTTTCACTGAAGATGTATGATTACCAATAATCACATGAAAAGCTGTTTAATATCTTTAGCCATTAAGGAAAGACAAACGAAGACCACAATGAAAGATGTGACATTAGAAGATTTAAAATCGGGACCAGCAGTTAGCGTAATGGCTATGTCGCTGGACTCCCATGTAGTTGACTGCAGTTCGAGTCCCAGACCCGGTGGCTTAAACTCACACCGGGCATGTGTGCGTGCGTGCCCAAGATCCCGAGAGGAGAATGGAGGAGAAGGGATTGCGGCGTGGCCATCCCCCCTGGGGGGTGATTTCTCGTTTTCTGTCTCTCTGTCTCTCTCTGTCTTTCTGGTGAGTGCATGCTCCCTATAGCAAAAAAAAAAAAGAAAAAGAAAAAAGAAAAAAACCTCGCCAAAAAAAGAAAGAAAGAAAAAGAAGAAGATTTAAAATCAACATTAGTGCCAACATGAAAGCTGTTGACTATGTAGAGAATCCGGTCTCTCAGGTGCTGCTGACGGGAATGTATAACGTACAGCAGTCACTCTGGAAAACAGTTCGGCAGTTTCTTAAAAAGCTGAGTTTGGCCCAGCCGCTGTGGCAGTGTCTAGCTGACTTGGCCACATTTGATAGAGCTGATGAGATGAAAGCCATCAGTGGGCCCCGTCAATGATCAGCCCACAAGACCGAAGTTAAAAATGGCCTAGACTGAAAGGTGGTGTGGGGGTTTAGGTGCTGGAATTCCTGCATGGCCGAGTGTGGTGCAAGTCCTGGACCCGGCGGCTTGCTTTCTCTCTCTCTTTCTTGGCAAAATCCCTGTGAAAATAAATTAATTAATTAACTAAATAATTCTTTTAAAAAATGATAAATCCAGCAAAGTAAAACTGCCAGGGCCTTTTGAGCCACTCTTTCTCTGTCTGTTCAGGCCTGCTCCCACCTCTCAGAAGTGCACTTTTACTTATTAAACTACCTTTTCCTTACACTTAAAAATAAATGAAAAGAAAAGTGACAGAAGAGTGCGTGCACGTGGCGGCCTGGAACCCTGAGGAGCGGCTGGGGAAACGGGAGCGCAGGGCGAGAAGACGCTGGCAAGGGTTCTGTCTGTCTTTGCATGGGTACACCTTCTCTAGCCAAAGGAAACAAAACAAAAAACTAAATATACATTTACCAACCAGTGATAGCACTCCTGGGCATTTATCTTTAGAGAAATGAAAACTTAACATCTACACAGAAAACCTGTCCACAATGGCTCAGGGCAACTTTATTTGTAATAGCCCCAAACTGGAAACAACCAAAAGGTCTCTCCACGGGAGACTGGTTAAACGGAGATTCTCCATATAACGGAATACTATCCAGTAATAAAAAGGAATAAAATAGCAATAAACACAGTAACTATGCACACAGAGCCATCCAAGTGGATGGATCTCAAGGGCATTATGTTGATTGAAAAACAGCCGCTCGTAAAAGGGCACATGAAGTATGATTCCACTTAGGTAACATTCTCAACATGAAAAATGTCACAGATATGGAAAATGGATCAGTGGTCGCCAGGGACTGGCTGGGGAGTGTGTGGGACTGACTACGGGGCCGTCCTGATGGAATGGTCTGTCGGAGACCGTGGCAGTTACACGAATCTGTGCACGTGATGAGATGCCACCTGCACACATCCGCACACTATTCCTGGTTTTCATATTGCACTATAATTCCTTTTTTAAAAAAATATTTTTTATTTGTTTTTATTATTTATTTTTTAACTTGATCAGAGAGAGAGAGAGGGAAAGTGAGAAAGCAAGCCACCAGGTTCAGGACTTGAACTGCAGTCGGCCATGTGGGATTCCAACACCTTAACCACCACACCCCCTGCCAGCCCTGATATTGCACTATAATTCTGTAAGATGTAACCATCAAGGGAAATTATTGGATGAAGAGCACACAGACCCTTGCTGTACTACTTTTGCAACTTCCTGTGAATTTATAATTATAATTATTTCAAATCAAAAGTTTAAAAATAAGACCAACCTAATAGCACAGCAGTTAAACACCATGCAGAGGAAGCTACATCCCACAGAGTGACCAGGATTCAAGACTTAGCCCTAGCAGTTTGAAAAACACACCTAGATTGGGCCAGCAGGTGGCATGGTGGTTAAGGCACTGGACTCCCACATGGCTAATCATGGTTCAAGTCTCGGACCTGGCAGCTTGCTTTCTCACTTTCCTTCTCTGTCTGTCTCTAGTGAGTGTATGTGGTCTGTAGCAAATTGAAATAAGTAAATAAATAAAAATTTAAAGCATTATTTTATTTAACTTTATTTATCCATTTATTCATCTATGTATTTATTTTCATTTGACCAGAGAGGGATAGAGTGATAGAGAGAGAGAGAGAAAGTGAGAAAGCAAGCTGCCAGGTCCAGGACTTGATGTGGTTGGCCATGTGGGAGTCCAGCACCCTTAACCACCATGCCACCTGCCGGCCCCAGTAAATAATTATTTTAAAAAAGAGAAAAATATACCTGGAATGCATCTCCAAGTGCAGCATCCTGATGGAATGGAGAAATAGAGGAAAAAGGATTGTCTCATGACCAGGCCCTGTTCAGGGGTGCTTCCCCCACCCCCCATATGTGCACACACAGGCCCTCTGGTGTAAAAATCTAAAAATAAAGTGTGTTACATGTGACAATGTTATGGAGAAAAATAAAACAAAGATGGGATTAAAGGCTGGGATGGTGCTGGTTAGAGAAGCCCGCCCTGAGAAGGTGACTTTTAAGCAAAGTCGTGAAGAAGATAAGAGATGTCGGGCCATATCTGGGAGACGAGTGTTCTAACAGAACAGCTGTGCAGATGGCCTAGGACAGGCGTGTACCCGGCATGCTCAGGAGACAGCTGTGCGGCCATTATGGCAGCAACTACAGAGATAAAGGACAGAATAGGAGATGGAGTTTAAAAAAATGGGGGAATGGACCAGCAGTTAGCATAATGGCTATGTCGCTGCACTCTGACGTAGTCAACCGCGGTTCGCATCCCGGACCTGGTGGCTTGAACTCACGCCAGGCGCGTGTGTGTGTGTGTGCCCAAGATCCAGAGAGGAGAATGGAGGAGAAGGGATTGCGGCATGGCCATCCCCCCC